TTTAACCTTTTAAACACAAATTGATAAAACATTGTTGAGATTTGGATACTTAAGTAAATATACATGTTCCTGTTTTGGAATATCTTTAATTACTAAATGCAAGTCAAATTAAAAAAAAAATAAGTAAAAGGAAAAAAGTCTCGTATTGACTGAAGGATTCTGAACGTGTCACATGACACAGGATGACATGATGAGGAAAGATGACTGACTCTGTGTGTTTGCATATGTGTCCTGCCTCTCTGCTCACAGCTGTTAAGAGGCCAGTGTTGATCAGTGGCTGTCCAGGCCTTTCAGAGCCACTCACACACCAGCAGCACAATGATGATGTCACTGACTCTACTGCTGGCCACCCTGGGGCTCCTTGTTCAGGGTGAGACTCTCTGTGAAAACTTTGCTTCAGCATGCAGCCAGGTTCACCACAATGATGTTCTGCTATGATGGAGAAACTCTGAAACCAGCAGCACTGACCTTCTTCCATCTGTTCTCCATGTTAGAGAAATGATCCTCGAATGTTTGATTATCTTTCTTTAAACTTCTCCTCTTTTCATGTTTTCAGGTTTTTGAAGAGAAATTGTAGAAGGCAAAGGAACTCAGACTCAAGATATCTTATACATGTGCACACATGGACGATCGTCCCTCACCGTCCAATCCATCCTGCACCAGACGTGTGCAGGACAAATGTGAGACAGAGGAAAGACCGCCCAGGGCTTTCAGAGCTTTCTTTATTTATACTTAAAACGAGCTTTCAAGGAAGTAGGAGTGGCAAAAACATTTCCATAAAAGGAGAAAGAGATCGTTAGCTTGCCTGTTGACAAAGGAGGTAGTATGTATAGAAATTCAGACATTCCCATATAAGGAGAGAGAGAGAGAGACCGTTAACTTGTCTGTCACAGGAAATAGTGTCGTATGTCACAGCATTCCTCTGCACATACGTTTCCACTCCCCCTCTCTATAGTGGTTCCAATTCACAAGCTCTTCTTCCTTTAAATGAAGCTACAACTAAGCATAATCACAAAACTCAAAAATCTCTCATCACTCTCTGGCCTGGGTGATGGTACCGCTCTCGAGCTCATGGAGAGCACGCTGTCCTTGCTAGGAACGGATGACGGCGGATTCCTCTTCACTCACGTCTTCCTTGAGCTGGCCTTGACAACTCCCAGCTGCTGGGTGCGAAGGATTACCAGTCACTTGCAGAAGAAGTGGATCACATTCTCCTGGCTACCAGGAGCTTTGGCATCCAGACGATAATTCCCGACTCTCCCACGCCCCCACCGATTCTCCCGGGGGCCTCCAACTCATCGATAGTGGCTGGGATTGCGGTGTCATGGAAAAGGGTTGTGTTTTTACCATCAGCGTGACAGCTTTGCAGTTTTAAGGCCCAGGGAAATGAGCCCGCCTGTGCTCTGTAGCGGCCGTGACCGCTGGCGATAAGGAAAGGCTGCACTTCATGGAGGACTCATGCTCGGGGAGACGTTTTCTGGTTGACTCCGGCTCCCAGAAGAGCCTCGGGAACGCTCGTGTCATCTTTGCATACCTCCACAATGGTATATTATTTAATCTTAAAAAAATATGGAGATTTCTCGCGTACCACCAGAGAGAGCCCAAGTACCACTTGTGGTATGTGAACCACAGTTTGAGAAAGACTGCTTTAGATCATGCACAGAACCAGTTAAAATGATAATACTGCTGAGCATTACACACTACATCACAAAACAGATAATAACATGTTCAGGACATGAAAGTCGAGTCTTTCCCGTCTCACAGGTTGTCCTGTTATTCTACAAAACATTTTAACAAGTGATATCTGCGCTGTGGTCATGTTTAACTTTTCCAACCTGTGGTCAGCATCGTGCATCAATGTGAATCACTGCAAGGTTTTTTGTACTGAGTGAGTTTTTAAAAACTCTAAAATAACTTTTACAAATTGTTCCTTTTTTTAAATTTCACTTTTGAGGCCATGTTTACATGCACAGGTGTAGTTTGAAAAACATTGACTTTTCTATTTATTCTGGCCTATTTTTTACATGTGAACAGCACTTTAATTTGTTGACAGGTCATTTTCTAACTTCTTTCAGGGTGAAGATTCTCAGAAACTATGTTCATGTGTTTGTGAGTAGATAAGTACAGTATTTCTTTTTTTTATGTGAACAAAATCAGATTGTGTCTTACAAGGACAAATGTGTGTGCTTTTATCTTCAGACAACACTGTCTTATAGTTAGCATGTTTTTTTTGGCAGGACAATATACAGTGACTCAGCCTGGAGCAGTGAGCTCTGCTGTGGGACCATCTGTGAGCATCAAGTGTAGACCAGTCAGGATGTTTATGTTTGGACAACAACCATTTAGCCTGGTACCAACAGAAAGATGGAGGAGTTCCTAAACTCTCATTTATGGTCTAGCACTCGAGCATCAGGGATTCCAGCTCGTTTTACAGGCAGTGGATCAAAGTCTGACTTAACTCTGACCATCAGTGGAGTCCAAAACAGTCATACAAAAACCTCCCTCAGTCAGACTGAACAGAAACTGAAGTGACTGCTGCAGCTGGAAGATACTGCAGAGACTGATACAGTTCACTGAGGACACACACACAAAATAAAGCCCTTCAACACAAATATGTGTCCCACTGCTATCTCATGCATGTTGTTTTCAACTTGCAAATATATAATTAACTAAAGAACAAACGTGGGCCAGTAACAGATACCAAGATGAATCTTAGTCATGACCTTTGATAACCGCAGTGGAACAAAGCCATGACATCTAATCAAGTGTCAGGGCTGTCGCCAGAGCGTGGAGTGAACCCAAAACAGACTCCGAGCTGTGGTGTGGACAATGACTTTATTTACAATGATGTAGAAACACAACAGTAGTGAATAAAATGTGATCCGGGGCAAAAGAAGTGTAACATAAACTATTACCCACACAGTAAAATTGTTATGGCCCTGATCTGGCCCACACAATGTGCTTACACATGGCCCACATACCGCAAAGAATGACGGCCCTTTGGTGGCCCAGATCAGGTTTGCCAGAGGTGGCCCACACATGGGCCAGCACAAGGCCAGCTGCAGATACAATGGTGGTCCTGTGCTGGCCCAGAAGAGTTTCAGCTCTGGCCCCAGATGTCAGCCTAATGTTTACCTTAATCAACCCATGTAATAACAACATGTGGCGGAACATAATAGTGCAACAATAACATGATGAAACTCTGTTCAGACCCTTACAAGTACGCATATTGAGACAGGCCCCATGTGAAGCAGCAAATGCTATACAGGGCTTCACAGTGCTTGCATGGCCTTCAGAATTCACTAATACTCTCCAAGTACTTTCACCAAAAAGGCTTTTACTATCCAGATAGCTTCTTTCTCCTTCCATCTGTATCTCTAGCGTAGCTGATTGGTACATGAAGGCACACACAGGTGTCTGAGCAGTGCACACAGATTGGGGGAGGGTCAGTCCTGCCTCCACACCATTTATCCACATATTGATTAAACTTATCTTTACATGCTTTTTATCAGCATTTATTATATTTAATTGCTTTTTATCAATATTTATTCCCATTGTGAAATGAGTATTTTAATCAAAAGAGTATCAATATTTATGCTTTTAATCCCGTTTTTAACACTGGGTTACAATTTCATTAGCAATAAATTTAATAACCCTCTATATTAACAGTTACACACTATATAGAACAACTTTATAGAATTATATTTGTTTGCAGATGTTAGCAGCTATCAGTGAATAGTTATCAGCTATTTTGAAACAAAACTGTAGAGAGACACGGCTCTCTGACTCTGAAACAAACAAACTCAACAACATAATTCTCCACTAGGCCTTTACTGAATCCAAATTCAGTTTCTGCTTGTTTGTGTGTCTCTCTTCATTCAGTTTAGTATTTAATAACAGGAATGCATGCTCTGTTGAGGTGAAAGAAGGTGACTTAAAAATGGAAGAATATCCTATTTCTTTGCCTGTGAAAGTCTTGGGTGGTTTTTAAAGTTTAGTATATTAGCTGATTGACGATTTCCTGAACCTTATGCTAACTTTGAACTGAAAATACTTCATCTTTTTAATTTATCTTTGAATAATGAGGAAACAAGTCTTATATCTCCATGAAATGGGTTGTAGTAGACAGTTGTTCAATTACTTTTGAGTGTCTGGCGAAAAAATCCTTGTGGGTAAAACCTACACACCTTTCAATTCAAATACAATCAGAAAGTTAGACAACCGACTTTGTGATCTTGATTATATTAATGTGATTGATCTGTTACTAAACAGCTGTCAGGGGTTGCTGTGTGGATGTGAAGAAGAGGGGATCCAAACACAGGACTCGTGGTGAGGATTAAGGGAGTTTATTGCAATGGCAGGATGAACGCACGAACAGAACAGGGAAGAAGACTGGCTGACTGGACTGAACTAAAAGGCAAACATGCAGAGTAGACAGCAGTGACAACATCAATGACAAGACAGTAAGTGAGTGGAAACTGAGGACTTAAACACACTGGCTGAATAATGACTGATTGGAGACTGGTGAGTGAACAGCTGAACATAATTGAAGTAACACACAGGGAAAGGCTGGCACAAAGAACAGGGAGTGAAAACAGAGAATAAACCAGACATGAAACAAACTGAAAATGCTGGGTCAACGACCCAGGAACCCTGACAACAGCATGTTGGAGTCAGTCCAGGAGAAAGTCACACCAAAAGTTTCAATGCGCTGAAGATATCATTCATCATGACTTTTATAGCAGTAGCTGAATGAATGTTTAATTCTGTTTTTAATCTGCTGCAGCAGTTTGTAGTTAAGGAGAACACTTAGAGATCCCGAATGAATAAATAACAGACTAAAAACAAAAATACTTGGACCTCGAAAGTGCATCCCAGATCAAAAAATTATAATTATACTATTTTACATTTTTCTTGAAACATGTTGGCCGATTGAAATGACACCTGTGAATTCACAATGTGATGACTGCTTATGAAGCCATGCTGGAGTCACTGTGAATATTTCCATAGAGAGGCACTTTGCATCAGCAGCACCATGCTCCAGTGCTCTGGGAGAGTTTATAGTCCTGAGAGTTGAACACTGGATGACTGACAGCTGTCCTTCATCACAACAGAAGCCACAGAAATCCTCCTCATCAAAAACATGACTTTGATCTGCGTCCTCATCTGGACTCTCCTCTGCTGCTGCTTCACAGGTAAAGTCCAGAGAATCAAACTCCTCTCCTCTATCAACATCTGTCCCTCTGAAATGAAGCCCACAAAACCATGAAGCTGCTTTATGTTTTTGTCTCTGTGTCCTCAGAGTCCAGAGGACAGATCACAGTGACTCAGCCTGGAGCAGTGAGCTCTGCTGTGGGAGGATCTGTGAGCATCAAGTGTAGGACCAGTCAGAATGTTAATAGTAATTTATCCTGGTACCAACAGAAAGATGGAGGAGTTCCTAAACTGCTCATTTACTATACTAGCACTCGAGTATCAGGGATTCCAGCTCGTTTTACAGGCAGTGGATCAAACTCTGACTTCACTCTGACCATCAGTGGAGTCCAGGCTGAAGATGCAGCAGTTTATTACTGTCAGAGTTTCACTATTAACAGTCAGTATGTGTTCACACAGTGAAAAACAGTCGTACAAAAACCTCCCTCAGTCAGACTGAACAGAAACTGAAGTGACTGCTGCAGCTGGAAGATACTGCAGAGACTGATACAGTTCACTGAGGACACACACACACACACACACACACACACACACACACACACACACACACACACACACACACACACACACACTCATAGAGTGAAACTGTAATTGATGGTACTCCAGTCAAATGAGCTTATATAAAAAAAAACAAAGGAAATTTCACAATGCATCATAATGAAAAATAACTTTTTTTTTGACTGAAAAGAAAACATGACATTACTCAAAAATTTTTCATTTTAATTAAGTCTTCAAAGTCAGCGAGTCACTGTAATACATCTCTTTGACAGTAACAAATTCAGCTTCCAATGAAAACATGAAGTTAGAATTAGTAAAATAATTAAATTTCCCCTTCTGTCTTTTTTCACTGTTAAATTCTAGCTTCAATGATTACTTTGTCTTAAACTGGAATATTGGATCATCCTATAATTTGAAACTGAATTGTCCTTGTGTTTAAATAGTCTTGACAAGCACTGGACATCTTCAAAACCTAGTGCTGATTACGGCCGACCTGGACTAGAGACTAAAACATAACTGAACATCCCATCACATCAACAGTGAACATGATAAAATAGCCACATTACAACTACTTGACTATGTTACACCTGACAAACTATCACTGTTAATATTCAGGGAGAAAACTACCACAGTACAAAGCAAAACTGAGAAATCCTTCACCTTCACCAGTACACCCGTGTGGTTAAATCATAAACTTAATTCAACAATGGAGTTTTCCATCTGAACTAAGTTTCCTCTCAGGATGTTAGGCTGACCGTAAACATGTTCTCTTGTCTTTTACTTTTGAATCTGTGTTTTGTTGAATGTTCTTGATTAAGGTAAGTCACACTTTCCTGATGTTACCAACTTCCGTCACAAGGTGGCAGTATGGCAACGAACAGCAGTTACTACTTCCAGATTTCACCAAGTCCATCTTTGTCTATGGTTTTATCTCATGTTTGTTTAACTTTGGGATCACGTTTGGTCTGTACTGAGCTGGAGATGCATGCTTTAAGTTCTTGCTGTTGATGTTAGTGATCGGTGCCTACCGCTCAGGCTAGAGACCATCACGTCCTTACATGTGTAACAAGACGCAGAATCTGCAGTCTCCAGTGTATGGAAGCCCGTTTCCGCCACTAAATAAAAACAAAAAAGCTAGTATCCATAACTCGAAATTTCGAGAAAAGTAACTCGAAATTTCGAGTTACTTTTCTCAAAATTTCGAGTTAGCTCTGCCAATCAAAAATATACGTGAATGAGGTCGCTTTCTTGTTACCCGGAAGCATATGGCGCAGAGGAACGCGCACTCAAAAACGGATCCCAACAAATTGGCGCTTTCACGAGTACGTTTGCTGATAGTAACACCATGTGATTCAGCTAATAACACAGGGATTTCATCATTTGTGAAGCCAGGCTGAAAACACTCAGCAATCTGTGCATTCACGACTGGATGTAATACCGGTAGCTTAGCTGTAGCATTTGTAGCTGAGGGCTTCAGCTTCCGGGTAACGAGGAAATGACGTCATTCACGTAGATTACTGATTGGCAGCGCTAACTCGAAATTTCGAGTTACTTTTCTCAAAATTTTGAGTTAATAAATCGAAATTTCGAGTTAATATGTCGAAATTTCGAGAAAGTAACTCAGAAATTTCGAGAAAATAACTCGAAATTTTGAGTTATGGATCCTTTTTTTTTTTTTAGTGGCGGAAATGGGCTTCCATACTAGTGTGTCCAACGTCAGTGTTGGGTTTATCTAGGCACAAAGCCCGCTGGAACACGAGACCAACTAACTGCACGACAAAACAAGTCAAGACAGAGCTCTTTGTCTTTGTGGCTCGTGAGAGAAGTCAGTCAAAGCTGAGGAAAAGATTCCTTCACCTGAACTCAACCAACTTCGCCTGATTCCTTCGCTACAGCCCTTTTTATTGTCAGCAAGCAATCATTCATGAATATGCAATTACAAATACACGTGACATTCTTAAGCAACATCTCTGAACAACATCAGTGTCTGTGTGTGGGTGAATGTGTGTGTGTGTGTGTGTTTCCAGCCATACTATACACAGACATACGACCTTTGAATGAACTTAAACTGTATGCAGAAAAGCGGAAGTAAACGTCTTACTAAAATATAAAAACATGAACCTCCAATAGGTCATGTCTCAAATACATATTTAAAGGTGTGACCTCTCGAACCTTTAAGAAAACGGAACCGTCTGGTTTCAAAAGCTATAATAGAATTATAACATCGAGACTGCTTCCTCTCATCTGATGGTACACAAGCGCACACAGAATCTTATCAGACCTAATAAGGATCTGATTTTTATCAGCATACAAATGTATAAATATATATTTCTAAGCATAAATGACAATATAAAAACATCAATTCCAACAGTCAGCATGTGAAACTGCTGTGAAATCCAGAAATCAAATTATCAAAACAATGATAATCAATTCAGATTTTTTCTTCTCCTTTGAAACAGCATTAATAATAATAATAATGGATTGCATTTATATAGCGCTTTTCGAGACCCTCAAAGCGCTTTACACTCTCACATTCACACACTGGTGGAGGCAGCTACAGTTGTAGCCACAGCTGCCCTGGGGCAGACTGACAGAAGCGAGGCTGCCATATCGCACCATCGGCCCCTCTGACCAACACCAGTAAGCAGTAGGTGAAGTGTCTTGCCCAAGGACACAACAACCGAGACTGTCCAAGCCAGGCTCGAACCGGTACCTTCCGAGTACAAGATGAACTGCCAACTCTTGAGCCACGATCACCGCACATTAGACTAAATACATAAAGAAATCACTACAGTAGAAGCTGTTGTGGAACCTTCAATCAAGTCATGTTTTAAACAGTGGAAATTTTTTTTGTTGAAGTATGGAGGTTCGTTCAGTTTTGCTTAAATGGGTAAAATGCTTTGTAAATAACATTTGTTTGGTGACTCATTTTCAGCCAAAGTGCCTTTTTTGTTTCTAGGGAGTAGAAGGGAGTTTCAAAATGTCACTTCTAAATATAATAGTTTTTTAAAAAAAATGCATAAATAATTTCTATTTGCAAACAATAATGAAAACATTTCAGAAAAAAATAGTTTTATTACTTTACAAAGCTTTCAGTAGTTAGGCCTCTAAGTACATCTCTGACATACTCACCCCCGTCAGCCTCTCAGGTCAACAGATGCAGATCTTTTAAATGTTCCCAGAATTAGAACTAGGTGTGCTGACGGTGCTTTCAGTTACTGTGGTCGTCTGATTTTCATCCTTGCTGACCTAAATTCAGTTATATCTGTGCACATTTAAATTCATGATTTTTCAGCTTCTATTTTCAAATGCAAAGTTCTGTAAAAATATTTTTGAAAACAGATCACTGACGAACTGCACCATGTGTGACCTCTGTAGTGTGTCTTCTCAGGCCTTTAAATGAATGAACAGGGTCAGGTCGATTTTGCAGCTACAGCCCTTTTTATTCAGCATCTGCATTCACAACAACAGGCAACAAGTAGAATGGTTTTAACTCTTGCAGACAATCAGCGTGAGCCCTCTACAGAAATCCTCCATTACTCTGAGGATTGCATTTACACTGGCAGTGTGATCATATAGTGGTTAAATCTATGCAAATAAAATAGAAGAATCTTAACAGAAATAATCTGCAACTTAAATTTCCTGAACAAAAGGAATACAGAAAAATACTAAAACATATTTAAGCTACATTAAGGTGCTTCCTTAGCGCTGTACATAAAATAATGTATATCATACTCTAAACAGTAGTGCGCAGTCACATACCTGCATTCATTACAAAGGGAAACAAGTAGAATGGTTTTAAATCTTGTGGACAATCAGCGTGGGCCCTGTGTGAAAATGCGGCATCAGAGTTGGCTAGCTATACTCCAGTCTCTTTACTGATAAACAAGTCTCACATAAACAAACGTTTAACCCAACATAAGGATTTAAGAAATAACCAATAAATAAATAATGTTTAACCAAAAATAACTGGGTCAACTTGTATTACTGTTACAGCTAGCAACATGATTTTTCTGTCCACCACATTTGCACATTCGTTACCTCTTTGGGAATCCTCCATTACTCTGAGGTTTACCCAGAATTCCTTGCACTTGGTGGTTACTGCAGGTTGACATTTGCAACAGTAGGTGGTGCCAATGTCCCATTTAGCGGGATTTAACTTGAACCTTATGTCTATGTCACACATGCACTGGCTTGAGTCAACAAATTTCCATAGAGGCACTTTGCATCAGCAGCACCATGCTCCAGTGCTCTGGGAGAGTTTATAGTCCTGAGAGTTGAACACTGGATGACTGACAGCTGTCCTTCATCACAACAGAAGCCACAGAAATCCTCCTCATCAAAAACATGACTTTGATCTGCGTCCTCATCTGGACTCTCCTCTGCTGCTGCTTCACAGGTAAAGTCCAGAGAATCAAACTCCTCTCCTCTATCAACATCTGTCCCTCTGAAATGAAGCCCACAAAACCATGAAGCTGCTTTATGTTTTTGTCTCTGTGTCCTCAGAGTCCAGAGGACAGATCACAGTGACTCAGCCTGGAGCAGTGAGCTCTGCTGTGGGAGGATCTGTGAGCATCAAGTGTACGACCAGTCAGAATGTTTATGTTTGGCAGCTCTCACTGTTTAGCCTGGTACCAACAGAAAGATGGAGGAGTTCCTAAACTGCTCATTTACTTGCTAGCACTCGACAATCAGGGATTCCAGCTCGTTTTACAGGCAGTGGATCAAACTCTGACTTCACTCTGACCATCAGTGGAGTCCAGGCTGAAGATGCAGCAGTTTATTACTGTCAGAGTTTTCACTATCCTAACAGTCAGTGTGTTCACACAGTGAAAAACAGTCGTACAAAAACCTCCCTCAGTCAGACTGAACAGAAACTGAAGTGACTGCTGCAGCTGGAAGATACTGCAGAGACTGATACAGTTCACTGAGGACACACACACACACACACACACACACACACACACACACACACACACACACACACACACACACACACACACACACACACAC